CCATCTCAACGTGCTCGTGGACAAGAGTGTCTACGGCAGAATCTACATCTACTACATCTAGGAGGCAAGCCACCGTCGGGCGGGCATTCCTTTAAAATTGTGAATATTTGCCCGAACGGACCATAGGTTCTACAGACTGCTGTTTTTTTAACATCCACATCTGCGGAGTTAACCTGCTTGCAAAAGCTGAGGACACTGGACTGATCACCCGCTGGACTCAGCATAAGCACACAATCAGTACGATTTGTTGGTGCAACGCATTCGGGGGCACAAATCATATAGACGCCGGTTATTAAAGGCGGCGTATAGGCTAGAACTGTGCAGCTACCTTTCAGCGTGTTGAGCTACTGTCAAAGCTCAAGACAGGTGAAAGTGTAGTTTTTTGGGTGGTTGCGTTTCGACAACTCGCTTATCGACAGAAGCCTGCACGCATCATCTTGCAGCACGCCTGGACAGCACTTCCGGGTAGTGCCTGGGGTTCAGACGTGGCCGGACAGCATACGTGATTTTTGCTGTGGCCGAAATAAAGCCTGCACGCAGCGAAGTGTATAGCAAGTCTGTCCAGCACTGAACAGCAGTAGTGCCTGGGGTTCAGACGGCCAGACAGCGAGACTGCCGGGCCAAAACGGAAGCCTGCAGCAGTATACCACTACTGCTGTAGCAACGAAATCTGGACAGCACCACATTTGCGAGTCAAACATTTAATTTTGGGCCGTTGAAACGTGCTTAGGATTAGCCTGCGCGTTTGACGCGTAGCAAAGGCATCATGGACAAGTCGACCAACATGAACAACACACTCCATACCATCCCAACGTTCGGGGGAAGGGTTTTCGTGAGTTGAGGTCGAAAGTGAGGAAAGCCATCAGCTACCACAACAAGGGTATCTTCGACATACTGAACGGGGATGAGTGCCCCCAGGACACGTCGAACACTGACTGCGCGATGGCACAAGGCGAAGACCCAGACGGTTTCTTCATCACCGTGGAAGACGTTCGACAGCGACCGAAAGATATGGTAGAAATAATCTCGGACGAGAGGTTCGAGGACGTTATTCTACAGGCGATCTCCAACGACTACGACTACGTTCGCCCAACTAGCTTCCGCGTTCGCCACTTCGGGCTGGAGGAAATCAAGACAACGATGAAAAGCATGTACATCGACAGCCTGTCACGGACCTGGACGAAGTCCGTCGCCGGAAGGGGAGTAGCCATGCCGGCATCGAATGGAGACAGCATCATCAAGTGCTTCAACTGTAGGTAGCACGACTATCGTCGCCGCGAATGCCCTGAACTTCGTCGGCACAAGCAACATCAGCACAAGGAGTCTAAGAAGATACACTGGAAGAAACCAAGTGGATAGCCTGGCCCGAAGTGGTTCTCTCTTCACAAGACTACATCTCACAGCGATGAAGAATGGTACAAGCAACAGAAGGACGCCCACAGCGAGCCACATGGAAGAATCAACTTTGTCGATGTGGGGAGTGCGCACATACCACAGGCGGACAATTCAGACGAGGAAACAATCGGCTTCTCCTTTGCATCAGTGACGGCCTCGTCGTTGATGCCGCTGTTAGCAGCTCCACGAAGCCGGACAAGAAGATCAAGTCCGCCATAGCCCTCGGACCTGCACCGAAGGACTTGCTCAAGAAATAAACAGACGACTCGGGCCTATTCGTAGCATGCGGAGAGACTTGCGTGGCTGCATCAGCAACTGCAGTTCTTCACCGACACAATGGAAAATCAACGCGAGTTCCATCACTATTCCGGTGGACTGCGGATCGTCGGAGCGCTACATGGACACCGACCTTCACCCTGGACTGAGGGAGCGAATGCTGGGCTACGAGATTTCGAAGGAGCCTCACAAGATAATCACCGCTGGAGAGAAAGTCATCGAACGCATGGGAAAGGACACCATCACTGGCACCTTCAACGATCAACACGGGGAAAAGCAGCCGGTATCGTTCTCAGCGATAGCGGTACAAGGACTTAGCAGGTACCTCTTCTCTCCACTCATCGCGTCGAAAACGGGAGTGGGCACTATCTTCGATTCATCACAACTGTGCTTGAAGGTGGGCGACGTCATCGTACCCTTGAGGCGACTCGGCTACGACACCATGCCATGAATCGTTCCTCTCGAATTGGACAACCCGCCGAACATGGCAATGCGGGCCGAGTCAGCGGACCAGTGGAACCGTAGGTTGGGATACATCAACAGCAGGAGCTTGGGTATGCTACGGAAGATCGACAACAACGGAGTAGACTACACCGGAACGATGGAAGCATGCGGCAATGACGTAGGGAAAAGCTCACAACGCCCTCATCTGAAGAAGGCGACGTACGACGTCTCCAGATCTTTTCAGCTGATTTCAACCGATCTGATGGGGCCAATTTCTCCGCCAGCACTGGGAGGGTTCCGATACGTCAGCAAGTTCGATGAAAAGACCAAGTGGAAGGAAGTCTTTCTCATCAAGACCAAGCGGGATGCTATCAAAACATTTCGGCTGATCAATCAGTCTCTGGTTGTCCCACTGGATTCAGGCTGGACCGCCTCAGGGGAGACAAAGAAGCGGAATACACCTGCCTTGAATTTCGGGAGTATTGCCTTCAAATCGGAGTAAAGCTGGAGTATGCTTCAACAAACACACCACAACAAATCGGAGCAAACGAGCGTGCGGGGCGGACCCTTGCAGCCATGGTACGCTGCCTACTCACGGATTCGGGATTGCCGAAATTCCTGTGGGGAGGGCTGATGCAGACAGCTGTGTATCTGAGCAATAGAGTGCCACATGCAGCACTGGGAAACATCACGCCGTACAAGGCCTTGTACTGCAAGGACGCCAACCTTGGACACCTTCGGGCAATTGGGGCCAGAGCTTTCGTACACGTCGAAACGCACACACGCGAACTTGACCCAAAGGCCTGGGAAGGATGTCTTTGTGGATACAGCATGGACAGCAAATCGTTCCACATCTACAATCCAGAGACAGGAAACGTCAGGGAAAGCAGGAACGTCATCTTCGTCGAGACGCCGTCTACCATATCAGACCTAACGCCGAGCAACAGGGCCGGAAACGACGACTTCGGGTACACACCAGGCAACAGATCCGAAGAAGAGAAGTTTGGATACGATAAAAACGACGACCTTATGCGTGATGTCGTCATCTGAGGGGGAACAACCTGCACCACCTCCAAGCGTCACTGGACGTACGCTGCGCTCGAGCACACGAGTGCCTGATCATACGGGGACGAGATTCACAACCAAGGACGACAAACATTCCCTCACCAATCAAAGTGGTCGACNTGCACCACCTCCAAGCGTCACTGGACGTACGCTGCGCTCGAGCACACGAGTGCCTGATCATACGGGGACGAGATTCACAACCAAGGACGACAAACATTCCCTCACCAATCAAAGTGGTCGACAGACACTGCCGTAAAGCCCAAGACCATCAGAGAGCTGAGGCGCCTCGCCCTCTACGCGAACACCCCATTGGCCGACATCGGACATCGCGAGAAAAGATTCACCTTCCCGGAACACGCCTTCGTCGCTAACAACAACCACACCCACGGTCGTTCGGAGGGGGCGAAGGTCAAGATCATACCGAACACATTAAGAGAGGAGGATTCGACCTCACGGCATTCTCCGATGCCAACTGGGGCAACAACCCGGACAACGGAAAGTGCATGTCATCGTACATCATGATGATGTCCAAGGCACCAGTGAGCTTTAAGTCCGGAAGTCAAAGCCTGACTGCCATGTCTACTGTGGAGGCCGAACTGGTAGCTGCAGCACTCGCGATGAAGGAAGTGCTATTCTGCATCAACATGATGAAGGAACTGGGATTCGGATCTGAGTTCACGAGCGCGCCACTAAACCGCTACACTCAACGTAATCGGCAACCAGACTTTCAGTGGGCGAACAAAGCATGTGGCACTACGCTTCTTCTACATCCGCGAGATCGTGAAGGAGGGAAGGATATCCATCCACTACATCCCGACCGAGGACAACCTCGCCGATATCGGAACGAAGCACCTCAACAAACAACGTCACCAGTATCTCATCGACAAGTTCAAGAACTTCGGGACGTGACAAGCTTAAGGATCTTCGACAAGGATATTCGACCGAGAATTTTCAACGTACAAAATTAAGGGATCGCCCTGTTTGGACGCAGCGATTATGGACTAGTAATCACCATTAGTCCAGTGTTTGGTGCTTAGCAGATTTAGCTATATTTTACCCACGTGTGCTCACGTGCGGCGCTCTAAGCAAACAGGACCCAAACAAGTACTTTTAGAATGACAACCGGCCCCAAGTAATGGGGAGGGGGGTAGCGCCGTCAGATGGAAGAAGTAGTGGGCTAAAAGGAGGAAAACCAACACGCACACTGTGACGTGTTGGGGTGGTGACAGCGAAGCAAGATAGCACGCCGCTTATACGTGCTTCTTCAACTTCTCGCGCTTTCTTAACACGTTGGACTGCCTCACGTACGAAAATGCGAACACGACGAAATGTGTTGATATTTTCACAACGGGCGGTTGTGCCCGTACTCATTGCATGTAACAATATGAAAATCAGCACCACACCGCCAGTACCTGAACGATGAGAGGTTGGCCACACCACCATGTGTGTGTGACTGGCATTCATCGCTACAAGCTACGTAGAACTAGCTAGGTGGACACACACGCCATTCATCAATATTTACATCAACCCGATGTAGAAGAAACATCCGAAGACAAACGACGGCCCACAATAAAACGCGGGACAAGCAACGCCTCGGGCTCTATATTGCCTTGAATCACCGTTTTTTATAACCTCCTCCACCAGACAAATTCGTTTCGGGCGTGAAACTCGATACCGCCTACGAACGAGTGCCGCCTTAACCGGGCCGCCGCCATGTGTCACGATTACCGCTGTAACCGGTAAATCACCGTTGACAGAAAAGTGACCGGCGAGATAAGCTGGCAGAGACCGCGTCTCGTCGACGACACGCGGACTGGGTGTGAACCAGGGGTTCGTTCCCATGCGTCACGTTTCCTTCTTCGGGCTCTGTTACCTCGAAAACGTCAACAACTTCGTGAAAACGCAAAACAACCCTTCAAGGTACCACGTGTGCAGGCGGAACCGTCAGAAAGGACGTACATTTGCCGTTCGTTCAGGCGTCCTAGCCTAGCATCGTAATTGCCGTCTTGTTTGGTGTTGTTTGAATATAAATCTCATGAGATGTTCATTACCACCGTGAAGTAGCGCCCCCTGGTGAGCGGTACCACCGGCATATCGCCGGTTTCCCGGCGTTTGGTTGTTTTACCGCCTCCGGCAAGTCTTCATCGCAATATAACGCGGTACCTACTACCACTGAAAAACGTGCCGCTATAGGGGATTGCCGCCGAAAACGTATTCACCAGAAGACGACACAGAGTCAACGCTTGGAAACAATACTTTGCGGGGCGTAGAGCAACCGCGGGAGTCGGACCCACAGGAGCCTGACAAGAGTCGTTAGCGGCACCCCATTGCACGGCATTGTCGGCCTCCATGATAATGGCTCGCTGGTTGCTTGCGCTTGCGTGCTTGCGTTTAATCACGTCGATTGGCAAGCTTTCGTGTGAAAAGCGGGTGCTCCGTCGACGACAAACGGCTCAGCTTTAGCGTCATATCTTCCGTACGTGTGACGTCATAATCTTCAGCAACCTGTGGCTCTTGCTCACCCCCTCCCCCCCATTTTCAGCTCGCCTCTTTCCGCTCTAGCTAAAGCGAGTTACGATGCCACGTGACTTTCTTTCGACGATGTGTAAAGGCTCACACAGAGTGACGGCGAAATGCTCGAACGAAACATTCGATGAACGACTCACTTCAGGCTGTTAACCCTAGATCGTAAAATGTACCTCGAGGTTTCAATGTACGCACTGCTGCCTACGATTCTTTACGTATGTATGACTTGACACCCGATGTCCCCACATGGGCAGTACGAGACATATTGACACACATTCGGCCACCACGGGGGAAAACTTGAGAGTCCAGAGACTCAAGAGAGTACAGGGTCCATAGAATAAAGGAGGCCCTGGGGCCCGTAATAAAAGGTATTCCCGCCTAGGGAACGGTGCTACAGAGGAGGGGAAACCAAGGGCGACCGAGACAGGGGTGGGTCATCCTCCAGACATGTTGGGACAACCTACTGCAGGCGTGTGCACCCCAAGGCCAGCCAGAGGACGCAACGATGCCGATCTACATATGTATACAGCTCTCTCAACGGTTGTCGCACTCCTGGACCATTGTGTATTGGCTGCCAGATGGGTACAACTCGTTGTACTTGCGTCTGAGATCGTTCTTCAGACACGCCATGAACTCACTTCCATTGAGGTGGGCTGCAGTCGGACCGAGAAACCTTCGGCATCATTTCCAGACAGTCGCACACCGGAGCACCCGGAAAGCTGCGTTGTTGGAGAATAAGTTGAAAGGTCGGTTGAAGGGGAACAGGGTGGGGCGGGGTATAAACGATAGATAGATGTGGGTGGGTACAACAACGGACGGGGCATGTTTGTTTTGTTGAATCGCGAACGATCCAAGCAATCTTCTCAATGAGTTACCTTTCCTAGCGCACCACCCCACAAAATGTAGAAAAAAGGTAAATCACACGGAGATACCGAGACGGGGGCTGGCCCCAAACATTACTGCGCAAAAGTTTCGTTTAATTTACTTAACCCAATGCACTACAGAACTCCTCATGATAAAAACAGAACCTGGGCAGACTCGCTGTCCGAAGTAGCCCTTCTCCTCAACGTGATTAATGTACGCGACATCCAGAGCCAGGTATTCAATGTAATCGTCGCTTGAGCCCTCGGGCCACACCCATCCATGGCAGTGCACATCTCCTTCGGATTCCCCGGGGAATTCTGTGCTTTCGTAGCGACAGACATCCTGTGCTGTAGAAAAAGAGGGACGAAATCAACAAGGATTGACTACCATATCCGCATGCATACGTTGTGTGCGTCACGTGCGTACGTAATATCTTTGTTGGATCAACATGCAGCACAATCTGAGGCATAAAACGTGTTTCATCCGACCACAAACGGTTGGGATTTTCGCGGTTGGTGGGAGGGGTTTCAGGCGTCTCATTCAGCCTATTCGTTGGATGCGAAGTCTACAGGGTGAGTGTAGCACGCGGGACCACTGCGCTTACCACGGTTTGGCGTTTGTCACACCTCACCGTGTTGTCTGACACAGGTTCTTCCTCCACCCTGTTGCTCCAGCAGCACATGAACGTGTTGAAGTGGCACTTAAATGCGTCGATTTGTTCCCCGGCATTGTTGTTGTGGTCCAATAATTTTTTCCTTGCGGGTTTGAAGGCCAAGGACTTGCGGAGATGATGGGAGCCAGAAGCAGCCGTCCGATGCAAACGGCGAGGATGGTCTTGATGTTAGCCGATTTCATCATGTTTCTCTTTCTGCTCAGGGGGCGACAAGCAGGGCGCGCATGACCAAGGATGGCAGAAGAGGAGGCTTGTGGGTGGGATTGAAACGAGCATCATCTTGAATACCGGATCGTGATTAATGAGAGGAAGTGCATTGGTCGGCCTGAAAACTGCGGTTGAAACTTCGACGTCCCATCATATGACGTGCACCATGCATTTGTGGACGAGAAAGGGGGCCACGGCTTTGAGGTCACAGCGTACGGAACGATGTATGTTTTGGTTAGACGATTTTCTCTCGGCTGATGGAGTAAGTTTTCTACTGGGACCCATCGATGAACATTCTGCAAGAGCGGTGCGCATTCTATGGGTTATCATGTACATGTAGTTTTCTTGTGCGCTCAATTGTAAACGCGAGAACATCATCCTGTGCGGAAAACCACCCCCCAGCCACCCAGTACGTACAACGACCCAGATTTCGTACATGTATCCCGGCTCTCTTGTCCACCAGATGACAATCATATATACGCTGCCCCAGCACTACTTGACGTGGACATTCCTTGTGTTGAGGCACGCATACGATGCGATCCTAATGGTTTCCCCGCACCACCACCAACGATTGTTTCCGCTGGTAAATCTGAATCGCACGTCTTCCCCTCGCCTTGCCTGCGAACCTCGAGTTGAGTGTCCATCGATTACTTAGACGACTCCACCTTGGGTCCACGCCTGGGTGTTCCTACTTTGTGGGCATAGACTAACAACGTACAGGTTTCATGCTTTTTTATGGATCGGTTTATTGTGTTGTTTGTTCTGCTGTGTGTGGCCTCTGTCGGTCTATTCGGAGCTCGCCGCCTGTATCCACCTCTGAAGGTTGAATAGCCATGGCCCCCTCAGATAGCGAGGCCACCGTGAAGGCGTCTGCCCAGTTTTACTGGCAGTGTCCGAGAAAATCAGCGGCGGGGTCGCACGCATGTAGCTGCTGTGCTACTGCTGCGTGAGGAGAGAACGGTTCAATGGCCGTATGTCTGCTCCACCTAACGAAAGAATCGCGATGCGGTGAGCGAGGACCGGTGTCCACGTCATAGTCTAGACTAAACATCGACAGACATCTCCAGCACAGACTAAGCACCGTAGTACACCTACATCATCAACAGACGACTTGTGCGTAGATGTGCCCGCTTACCGTGGGTACGGCTGACCGGCGCCACTGAGCACCGAAGCGAAGGTGGGGTATGAGTGCGTGCTGGCGGAGGTGGTGTTGCGGGCTTGTATGGGGCGGTTGCAAAAGGTATGTAGGATTTACCCTGTCGAAGTTCCAGATGTTTTTCTCCCGTCGGAGATTCTTGCAGCTTTTCGTGTGGTTTTAGCTTGAGTGTTTGAGTCTGTCGTTTGGTTGCCAATTTGCAACTTGCTGCGTTGCAACAACAGGGAGAGAGGTCAGCGACGACCTTGCACGAGAACCATGACTGCGCTACATGTCCGAAATTGCTTCATCCACCCCAGCCCTGGGTGTGTGTTAGTTGGTTCCACCGGTGGCAGGTGGTGATCTCTCTGCCGACAAGCGAGTCACGTCCCAACGTGGAGATCTGGAGTTGTACATATACCGCGCATTTGCATCAGCGTACCAAAAGTAACAGTCCCGTGGGCATCGCCTACTCAACCCCAGCTAGGCAGCTCAGCTAGGTAGACATCACACAGCACAGCGGCCATCATCACGCCCGGTACTCAGCACACGGTCGATCCAGGAGTTTTCTGTGGACGATGGTTAGCCGGAGGTGAAGAAATAGGGCGTAGAAAAACGATTCGCAGCAGCAGAGAGCCAGGCAGTTTCGCTGGTCCTTGTGCGGTCCTGCTGTCGATCGCGCTTGCTGATGATACTGTAGCTTTGCTTACCCTCTTCCGGACAACCAGTAGATCTGGCTCTGTCGGATTGGGATGCCGTTTTTTGAGGATATAGATCACCAGCCGTAGCCTTGGCATGGTAGGCAGGATAACAGCGAGTGTTGTGATGTTGGTGCACGTGGTACCCATGGAACTGCGGGTTGGGGCATGCACGTGTCGGCAGGTACCTATCCTGAACGTGCAGAATCTCCGTGCTTGCTAAGACGCACAAGCAGAATCACGGGCATACATGCGTAGATAAATCTACTGCTGTAAACCCCCGTACCTTGGGTTGGGAGTATTCAACCGGCTTCTGTAGTACGACAGCGCTAGAAACCCGAAGCATTGTAACGCAGCCAGTAGCCAGACAACGTTCTCCCCGAGAAAAAATGGTCGGAGTTTCGCACATGTCTTGGCACACACACTTGGTGTGTCTACCAACTCTGAAGATGAGAACGCCCCCGACGTGACCGTGCGTCTTAAGTCTACTCTGGATGGCCAGCTTGCCTTCCTGCTGGGGGCCGCTTGCTTGTTAGTATCTTTAGACGAACTACCGTGGGGTACATGGCGTAAGATACCACACCCCCTGGATCGATTTTCAAAGCTCGATTTCACCTGTAGAGCAGAAAGAGTGGCCGCGCCGAAAACGGCAGCGTCGAAGCTGTCTCGTCGTCGACAAAACGAATCATTTCATTTACGCGTCATCATCTTCGTCGTGGAGCATTCGAGCTTTGAAAGTCGGTCCAGGGGGTGTGGTATCTTGTGTCACCCGTGCTGGGTACGCAAGGCTGTGGGTAGGAGTGTTCTTTACACGATATTTGTTTGAGGCTCTGGAGCCATTGCGGTGTGTTCTTGGCTAAGGGCGATCCGGTCTCCTCTGCCGATCTGCTGGCAGGTACCACAGCTGTCGACTGGTGTACGGAGCCCCTCTGCTAGCGGTCTTGCTCCTGGCATTGGCCACCGGGCACCAGTCGCCACGAGCCGTCCCTTCGACAGCAACACGCGATGCGGCGCCATCATCATCACCGTGCAGGCGGCTGTGTTTGTTTGGAAACCCTCTAGGCGTTTCCCGACAGGGGTGTTCTCGCTGCAGCCAGAGAGAAAGGTGACGGGCTCCGGAGGCTGGTTTTCGTTCAGTCCGGAGGGGGTGGTGATGTGGTAACGACGGTACGGCGGGAAAGTGTGACGACAATATTGCGGGGAGACTATTTGATAACCTTGACCAGTGCGCACGGATGGCGACAAGTTTACGCTAGGCAACAAAATTGAGCACACATTTGTTCAAGTTCACATTGGGAGAGATCCGTTGCACTGCCGTCTCCACTATCTCTTTTTTTTTGTACACCAAGCCGGAGCAATTGCACCCTGCTGGCGAAACTAGAGAGCCGCCCAACTCTGCCGTGATGCAGGTGCGAGCCTCCGTATCCCCCCTAACCTCTACCTTGCCCAGAATGAAGGGACCACGGTTTTCCAGCTGGTGAAATTTTCTTTACGCTGCGTGCCTCAACCCCGGACCGTTGGCGTTGGCGATGGGCTTAAGTTTTGAACAACCCGCCGCTCCGAGGGAAACCGTGGCAAACCGCGGAGATGGGTAGCGACTTACACACACGTTGGCCACTGAACGTTTGATGTTCCTTCGTCCGTCCGCCCATACTATCATGTTCGTATCCCCTAGCCAGCCGTAGCCCTCGTCGTGACCCTAAACTTAACCTGTTGCGGCAAACGGTGTTGCCGGTCTTCTGTATCGTTCTCGCGCCGGCAGCCGGCGGCGAGCGGGGCCGGCGAGGGTGCGCAGGAGGGGCTCCGTCTTGACCACGGAAGCTCTGCATGGGGACAGCAGCAGCAGCAGCAGCAGCTGCTGCCGCGGCAGTCGTTCGTCGACGATGGGCCCTCGTACAAGACACGGGGCTCGGTCAGAGCGGGCACTGGCGGGAACTCTCAACTGTATGCAGCGGCAAGGGCCGGGAGGATGCGGCGGAGGCGGGGCGGGGTCAGCGTGGCGGTATCGTGTTCCGGTGAGCCGCCGCTTTCGCCGCTTCGAGCGCGCAACTTTTTTTTTTTGCACACGCGACGTCGTGGTTGGTTTCCCTTCTTCCTCTTGCGTGTCTGGCCTTTCTTCAACGAGGGTGGTCTGCCAGCCGTGACACCCGCCGTTGTAGTTGTTGGTGTTTTTTCGATTTTGGCGGCCAATCATTGTGTGGTCTGATTCGTCGGCGTCTTCTTCCGGTCTATGCGTAGCTTGCTCCCTGTTTCCATTCCCTCTCATAAACGCAACTCTTTTCACGGGGGGTTCGGTTTGGGCTTGATCTCTCGCTGTCTGTCTAGCGTGACGGTCCCGGGTGTAGATCTATTCCGTTCGAGCACTGTCGCTGCCACTGCTACTACTTCCTTCGAAGAAGGGGGCCAAGTTGAGAAGAGGCATAGTATCGGCCGCTCCATTCCTTTGTAAACGCCAACCGGCTCCAGAAGAAAACGCGAGATCTGAGATACACATGACGCGTCTTCTACTGTACAGGATGGGGAGTCCCCTTGCTACAACAGTAACGGCGGAAGAATACGGAAATAACTCCGTGATTCACCGGGGGGGTCACGCAAATGAGAAGCGCAACCTGCAGTACTCCACGAAACACTTGGCTGGATAGGCACGATGAGGTCTCAAACATTCTGGTGTAGCTGCTGCTGATATATTGCCTGAAAGTCCTGTTGACGCAGGAGGATTGTGCACGCGAGTTTCTTCAACAATTGTTTTTATCTTCTATCTAACCCATGTATTCATTACCTGGGTCTCTACCTCCCGGTACACTCCGGGCAGCCCCCCCCCCCTAGTACCGCGGTGGAGATATAACACTATAAATTTTGCGACAGTCTCTTGGTTCCTAATTCGGCGTCCGTTCCTACTTTCAGAGGCAACTCGGTAGGGTGTATGGGGGCCGAGCAAGCGACGAGGAGGCCAACAGCCCCAGGAGGATCCCTGCTGCGACAGGCGGCGAAACAAGCGACGGTTCGGGAAAAGCTCCTTCCCCGAGTCAATCTCCCAAGGCGTTGGTGAAGAAGTTTCCGGAAGGGTGGGCGGAGCTCCGCCGCGCGATGTGCGTCTTGCGTGTGTGTCATCTTCGATTGTGTGTACTCGGTTTCGTCGATGCTCTCTTGATGTTTTTGAGGGAAACGGACAACACGGTGCAACGCTCAGCCGGATTCTATTCCCCTGGTAGGTAGAGCCTGGTCCGGTGAAAACCCGGCGTGGTCCATTCCGGCCTTGTAGGGATGCGAGGTCAATGGTCTAACGACTATGGCATGCACAACTATGAGTACACCCCCCCCCACTGGTAGTTTTTCAGAGGGTGACCATCGTACTTTGCGTTGCATTCGATGTGGTCCTGCTTGAGTTGGCAGAAATTTCGTGGTTTCACGAGGCCGGGGCTAGCGAACGCACTTGCGTTATGTACGCCCAAGGATCGTGACGGTCCCGAGGGATGTTATGTTACATTGTCTATCCCTTCTTGCTTTCTTTTGCCTGCGTATCTCGCTATCTCTCCGCCTCTCTGTCTGTCTGTCTGCCTCTCTCCCCGCTCTCTCGCGATTCATCTTCCCGCACATATTCGTTTCTCATGATACTCCTCGAGCCCCCTTTCGCCTACCCCCTGCCACCCCCTGTCTCGTACCCCCTGCCCCCCTTTCCCTTTCACGTACCCCTTTCCGCGAACGCAACAGCGCGGCTGCCGCAAAAGCGAAGAAGGGTCGTTCTGGCACGCCTCAACCAGGGCCGGCCGAGGACGAGGGTTGGGTCGATCTGGACTACGAGTGGGCCAACATGCCGTTCACGGAGGCACCACGGGGTGGGACGAACCCCCTCGATTTCGTCTTGGACATGCTCCCCGGCACGCGGCGGGGCATCTCCGGCGAGGAACTGGACGACGTCTATGCCATGATGCCCCACATACAGGTGCTGCCCATGTTGTGGTTGCTGTTGTTGTTGTTATTGATTGTTGTTGCTTTTTTTGCTTGTTTTTATTCGAATGGACCTCTTCGCACACGCAGACGGTCCACAGGAGGGGCCCCTATAGGATGGTTGCGTGCATTGTCTTTGTGCCTGATCACCCGTGTGATTGTGCGTATCTTGTGAGGGGCCATTGCAGCACGCACGCACAAACGTAACTCATTACGGTAAGCGGGTTGGCGGGGGTGGAGGGAGAGGGGATGTTTGATCGTCGTGTCGGGTGCAGCGTCCAATCGTCCAAGCCATTTTCGTTCCGCCAGCACACGCCCAACATTGTTCTGCTTGTATACGTTCTGCCCATACTCAGTTTTCAGCACGTCACTCTCCATCTCTTGCTGCAACAGCTTGAACTTGTTCGTTCCACAAATCACACCCGCCCGTGCTTGATACCCTCGTCGACAGAATATCAAAAGCGGGTGTTTCCCACTATATTCAATTATTTCCAAGCGTGAAGGGGTTAGCCATTGTTTCCCCCGCGTGTGCCTGGGAGCCTAGCGCCTCCGCAACGAGGAAAGCGCCGTATTGTCAGTGGCTCCATCTCCGCAAGGATACCAACTGCACCGCCGGTGTTTCAATACCGCAACTCGACTCCGTCGCCCCTCAGCAGACATGCCATGTAGCTTCCATTAATCCCTACTTTGATTCAAGGAGACGTTTCTTCTCGCCCCCGACTGCTCTTCTGAGTTTAGGTATCCCTCACAGTAATCTACCCAGGTTAAGATAAGTGAGCAAACATAGTGCATGAAGTAGGGTTAGGGTTACGGCCTGCGTGCCCTGGTATTTTTTTGAGTAGGCAGTCCTACTCTCGTACCCTCTCTGTGGTGCCCCCTCCGAATGAACGTGTCCCGCTGATTTCCTTTCTGTGGTGCCCTCTTCTCTCGTGCTGTATCTGTCTCGTATCACACATCGGCACCGGCAACTCACCCTGACCCTTGGCGTTTTCAGGAATCTCTGATGGAAAAGACGGGGTGGGAGGGGATTGGGACGGGCTACGAAGACACCCCCGTGGGTTTCTACAGGGTAAGATGGACTCGGTTTTCGGAACAGATTTCCGGTTTCGTCGCGTGTGCGTGTGTGGTTGCTTGCAAGAAGACGCTGGGGGGTTGTTTGGAGGAGGACTGGCCTTAGACCACCCGTCTGACTCGTTTCTATTGCGTAGATCGGTGGTTTGGTACCCCCGCCTGAGGGGTTGGCTCAAGGAACGCCTGCTGCTGCAGCAGCCGTCGCCGGACGGAGTGCGTTTCGGCTGCTGGGAGGGCTTCGGTCGCTGGCCCGCACAGCGGCAGCAGACTTTGAATCTGACTCCAAGTTGAACACGCTACTGCTGTGGGGTGATCCGCCCAACCTCCCCACGGTATCACAACAACGAACGTGACTCGTGAATGTCTCCGCCTCCGCCGCCGTTTTCATCGTGCCCCCGCTCAGCCCTATTTGGTTGACATTTATCGTAGTAAGCCTGAAACGTGAGGGAGGATGAACTGGACAGAGAGGAGCGCGATCATTTTTTGCTGTTTTGCGTGGACATCAAGGTTATCTTTTTTTTTCAGATGGCCCAACATGTTGCATATCTCCCGCTCTATAGCACGTACACAACGCAACACGGTTCGTACAGCAGCTCTGAACCACAAGCTTCCTATGTTCATCGGCGCTTGTCGCTCGTTCCCATATGCATTATCGAACCGCTGCCTCTCTTTCATTTTTTTCTGAAAAATGTAACACAAATGAGACCACAGGACACCAACCTAAAACCGTTGAACTGGAGAGACGCCATGGTGTCCATGAAGCCCGGGTCAGGCACGTTGGGGCTCGACCCCGATTTCGACGACAACTCCGGTAGCCCCGAGCAGGTGGAGAGACGGCGGGAGCGTGGTTTGCTCAAGGGCGTGGGGACTAGGTACAGGGGTCCTCCGCCGGGCACGCACGGCCCTTGGCGATGGGGACAGCTGGTCAAGGGCTCCGCGTTGGAGGAGGTGAGCGAGCAGCAAGCGTGTATCGCTATGTGCAGCGGCTATGCAATGTTGGGTCTTTCGTCTCGAACGGAACAAGAGGAATTCGAAAATTTCACTCAGACTTGAGGTCAAGACGGAAGTTTGCAAGAGCGCATGCACGCGGTTGTTTTTGAATAGATCTTGGTTACACCGGAGGTGACTCTTGGTTTTGCTTCGGCTAGTTCTACTGAGAGGATAACGGCCGGCGATCGACGCCCCCCTCTCCCGGCTGGACATCTCATGACGGATGGGGCTCAGGTCTTGGGGCATTGACGTGCACGGCTTGCTAAAGTCGCGTGTCCTCCTTTCCTGCCTTGCAGTAGTAGAACATGGCACGTCCGAGCTTTGAATGAACGAGACGCCTCCGTTCCCTCAAGAACCGAAGAAGTTGTGCTGTCGCCAGGCGGTTCGTCACAGAAAAAATGTAGTACCCCTCCCACACCCCGACTGCCCAAGAGAGTGACGGTAACACTTAAGTTCCACACACCCACACCGTCCCTCCCTGTGGATGGCACGTCCCCTCGCCATGGCCTAGGCCACCGCAGCTGATGCTGTGGCGAACTATTGTACGCCCGGATTCCTCCTTGGGGCGATACATGGACCACAATCAATGCCCCCCAAGAGCTATGCCGGTAGCTGGCGTGTTTGTCTCGCATACACCGAGTCCGTACAACAACAGCCGTTTCGTCTTCAATTTAGCCGAGCTTCACGCCCGATCGGCCTTTTCTTTTTGTTTTTTGGTGCCACTCTCGCCTCCGGCGCAGAAGCTGAAGGCCGAGATCGCGTCGTTCCCCCGCCTCCTCCCCAGGAGAGTGAGGCGTTACTACCACGACAAGGTGAAGTAGCCGTCGCGAGGACAGTTAGCTTGGTTTTAGAGTAGGAAGTACGGGTTATGGGTGTGTGTTGGGGAATTCGAGTCGTGACACCCGCGTCTCCTTTCATGCTGCATGTGTATTTTGATGTCCTCGCGGTGGCGGTCCGCGATGAGGTGGGAGGCGGCTGTGGGTGGCGGTCGGCAGAGGCCGAAAGAGAATAATACATGGCTCGCGACCTTCATCGATCAACGTGATTGATGCGTGAACGGCATGCAGTTTGTAGCCCTTCTGGGGGCCCGCCGTATCATACTACCCCCAGGGTCCCCGCAGATGGGCATCGGGTTCGGAGTACCCGCTGTACGGCACGAAGTAACAATAGACTGCAGCAACCGGTACCTTTCAACAAGGACGAAGCGGTCACAACAGGGTTGCTACGGTGACACACAGCAGTGCACAAGGAATGGACCCAGAAATTGACCACGAAATCTCGGGCTGATTGGCCACATGCATCGTGCATCGTCTTTCGGCGGATCGCGTGGCGGTAGTGCAACCCGGCTTCTAGAATCGGCTTCCGCCGTTTGCTGTCGTTCCTGTCACCGATTTCTGTCTCCCGAAATAACACCTGTCCTCCCAACGAGACTGTCAGGCTTGCCACCTTCCCATCATCCCCGAGCAGAACAGTAACCATGGACCATCAATCCCTGGGATGTTTGGACGGGGATGCCGGCTGCATTCCTGCTGCACTCACGCGTCTGAAGACGGCTCGGCTGTCTGTCTTCGCCCTCTCCGCCCCGCGCGATTGGCACGTTTTTTTTTATTTGCAAAGGTGGTGTGGGTGACCGGAGCCGACCACGGTTTCGGAGAGCAGATGGCGATCAATCTCGCCGTCAACGGGGCTAGAGTGAGTTACCGTACCGGTTTTCGTTGTGATTCCGAGAAATGTTCCCAGAAACGTTCCGAGAAACGTTCCGCCTCAAGCGGACAAAAGAATATATCCGTCTCCGTCGAGGTATCTCTAGCCGCCCCGTCAATCTTCACGAACGGACGGTGTGTGCATACATTCTGGCGGCAATGCTGGCGGCTGGGTTTGGGGTACCCGTCGAAGATGCACTCATTGTTCTAAGTACTGCGATGTCCCTGGAGGCCTCCTGGTCGAATCCCTACCGACTTGTGTCACCACTTTTTTTCCTTCCCCGCTTGCCTTCTTCTCTCATTGTTCGCATACACAGCGGCAAGTATTTTTTAGGAATTGATGGCTTGTCATCTTGTTTGTGACGGTATTACGGAGTCCCCTAGATCCTGGGTGACGGCTACCTCACTATTGTTCATTCGTAGTCTGTATCCCGTGGTTCACATGCCTTGTTTTTGTCCCGTCCGTCTCAAGGTTATTTTGTCGGGCACGAGCTTGGAGGAGCTCGAGCGCGTGCAGCGGCTCTGCATCCTGGCTTGGATGAAGGCCGTTGACTGGGAGCTCTTAGATGTGCGTGCGTCCGTTCGGTCTTTTCTTGGTGCGAGTGGTGTTTGGTGTCCCCTGGTCCTGGATGACGATGCATCGTGGCTGCGTTGTAGGACTTGCGTGCTGTGAATACCATACCCCCTCCCCGCCGCCCCCCCCGGTGTTTGCCATCGGGGTTGGGTTTCGTCGCTTGGCAACGACGTTGTAAAACAAGCCGCCCCCCTCCCCCTCGGTGTTTGCCATCGGGGTT